CTCCAGAATGGTCAACCGGCACATATCAGATTATTTTTGTGAATTTTTTTTTTAAAGCTTTTTATGGGAATTTTGTTTTTTTGGCATTGTTGATCTAATATTTCAAAGACGCGAGGTAAGTATTTTATTGTTTACCTATTTTAATGTTATTTGTTTAACTTTTTGTGTCAGAGTAGAAAGCAAGGTTAACCGATAAGGTTCTGTTCTCACAGAACGAAAATACCAATGGGAGGTTTTGATATTTTTAGGCTAATCCGATAAAGTGCACAAGGCGAGAGGCTGCACAGGATCTCTCCTTGTTGTCCATAGCTTCCCTTCAAAAAGAAAAACTGCAAGAAAAACTTGTGGCAACATGATGGTTGAAACATATTATTATATTTCATTTCAGTTCAGCAAGAACATAACAATAAGAACATAGAAAACGACTGACAGGGAGTTCTGACTTGATTCCATGAAACAAGCTAGTTGATGTGATTGACAATAACATGTCCTATCCAGATAGGAAAAAATGGAGTAAAGAAATCCAGTGTTGGTAACCGGGTTGAACTATGTCAGACAAGTCCAAGAAAAAGGTCTCGAAAATGTTATGTTACACCAAATTTTATAACGTCATAAGTATTTTCTATGCAGATGAAAAACGCTTCAGAGAAATATCTACTGAAGTGTTCCTCTATATTTTACGGTCTGAAGCCAAACGCAACAAGGCGATTAGTTTATGAATATGCCCAAACGAACTCTAGAACTCATGCAAATTTATAATTTAGATGAGGTAAAATTTAATCTTTTTTGAATCACTCATGGTATTTTAAATTCTTTTTTGTAGACTGGTGTAACGACGGTACAACGAGTTCCTGAAATTTTTGGAAAGATGCCACTTCTCGTGAAAGAGGTGAATTGATTACGCAAGTAGGATTAATCTCTTCCAGCGGAACAGCTTTGCCGCCAATTTGAGTATTTCCGTTTCCCCGCATACGCTACGACGCCAAGAGAATAATGCAATAAGGTGTTTCGGGATGTGGTGCTCTGGGATTTGCTTGTGATATGTTAACAAGCTTGGGTTAGAACCGCTGCACCAACAAACAAAAAAATCAGGTTTCAGATGCACTGATATAATGCCATTTTATCGAAACATCTTCAAAGAAGAAGACTTTTCCTACTCTCACGTAATGGATCAACCGGCTTCCACCATCTATAATAATTATTCAAATCCAGAGCCGCAACTAACTATCCACATCAAAAAGGCAACCTAGAGCCACAACCATCAACATCAAAAAACTATCCTGCGCCATAGATGGTAGATGCATGATTGCCACTGACACTTCCGAAAACAGCGATTAGGGATATGGAGGAGGAACCCGAAAAAACAGTTACTGCAAAATAGTTATTTGTTTTACTAGGCAGAAAAGTACAAGATTTAATGCCGCGGCTAGTGTTTCATAGCCGAGGCATAGCCGAGGCTAGGAAACCAGCCAAGGCATTAAATCTGCTTTTCTGCCATGTGAAACATATAATTTTTTCTCCGAATGGTCAAATTCACACATGGATATCTTTTTTATATTTATTTCATTCATTATTATTATCCAAATAATTAAATTAATTTGATAATTGTCATTGTCACCATCAATTTCAAATACCAAATTGAGGGAAATTATTACCTGGAATGTTGTGACACTGTCACTTTTAATGCCTAGGCAGTAAAAATACAACTTTTGATCCTGTCAAGTGTCATTAAAAGGCCGCTTTTACTGTCATTCGGAGAAAATAGTATATTGTTGTATTAGGAGTAGAAGTTTTACTTTTTTGTGCTGAAGCGGTAGGTTTGCGAGCCGAACGTAGTGAGGCTTACAATACTGCTGAAGCACAAAAAAGTGCTTCTACTCCGTATGCAACACGCTATTTTTTCTCCAAACGAATGGGGTAAGCTCGGGGGCAAGTGAATGGTTGAGCGGCAGCAAAAGTACGAGCGGCACTAAAAGTACTTCTACTGCCGCTCCAGCGGCACTAAAAGTACTTTTGCTGCCGCTGGGGTTGCCAAGCAGTATAGAAATTAAATTTCTACCACCTCGACAGGTATTACCCGCTGGATTTGCCTAGCAGCATAGAAATCAAATTTCTGGAATCTTGACAGGGGTTAACAAAGTGACGTTTTTCTGACGTTTGGAGAAAAACATATTTATGCTATTGAGCTTACTGTTATGGTTACGTTTAATTAATAAATTGAATAATTTTACTATTTGAATTAAACATTCTGGTAACTCGGCTTTCTGTTTCATAACCATGAAATTTGAAAAATATTTTGTCATCAAATGTCATTATTATACGAGGGTCAACCTGTCAAATATCCACGGGTAATGCTACGCCAATAATAAGTGAAAAGCATATAGATGTTTCCGGGTTTCTTTGTGCACCACTCAATTAGCTTATCGACTAAGCTCCACTCTCACTACTTTTTAAATGTTTTTTTTCGTAGGTTTAGTTCACTTTCATTAGATTTTTCATGGAGCGATAAATTTGACGTCACATTCAAAATTGACAAAGTCCTAACTTAATTGTTGCCATACGTGTCCCTGCATGTGCTCTCACTTTAGTTTTTTAATAAATTTTAAAGTGAAACAATTGCAACTGGCACCTGAGTCAATTTTAAATGTAATGAATTCATTATTTATCAGTATATCCAGTGTTGCCACAGGTGGCCCCATATGGCCAGATCTGGCCCTTTCTAAGACGGAGTGGCCACTCTTTTCCGAATCTGGCCCGTTTCTCCATAACAAGCCAAATCATTATTTTTTTATGCAAAATAAGCGTTTTTGGGCGTGGCATCCGAAAAAAATTTCTGCCTCCGGCGGGCTTTCTCTCTTCTTTTTCATTTGTGGAGGATTTGCCCGAAAATCTGAAATCTGGCCCCTTTTAAATTCATAGTCTGGCACGAAGTTTTCAAAGCCTGTGGCAACACTGAGTATATCAACTGTCCAGACACTTCTTTTTTGATCAGTACTCACATTCTTTATTGCCACCGAATCAATATATGGTTCCAAGTTATCGGTGGCTGAATCTAACATATCTCCCTCCAATTCATGAACCTCTTTCCTCTTAATTCCTTTCGATGCAGCATTGCCATTTTTCCTTGGGTATCTACATCCGACTGCATAATGGTTCAATTTTTCACATCTGGAACAAGTTTTGCCAAACACAGGACAGCTTCTTGGTCCATGTTTCGAGCCACATTTAAAGCAATCATATAAAATAGATAATAACTTACTACGAGAACCACCACTACCTTTGTTCCAAGCTCTTAATGAATCCACTTGATCAGTGTTATTTCTGAGACTTTTTATCTGCAGTTTACTGGCAGCTCTACAATCGGTTTCTACTTGTTCCAATGTTCAATTTGTGATTCTCAAAAGCCTTTCTTGTAATGAACTGTCCCTGACTCCACTCACAATTAGGTCCCTTATTAGAAAGTCATGTAAATTAGCAAAATTGCAGTTTTTTGCCAACATTTTTATTTCAGTTAGAAAATGGTCAAAATCCTCGTCCTCCTGTTGCACTCTTATGAAGAACTGGTACCCTGTCTTAGGTCTCATTTTTCATGGGTTTGCAATACTGTTCAAATGCCTTTATAACGGTATCAAAATCTTGTCTTTCTGTTGCACTCAGCTTCATAGTTTCAAACACATCTTGGGCCTCCTCTCCAGCAAGGTTGAGAAACATAGGAATTTTTGTTTCGCCATCCTTTTCATCAAAGCCAGATGCTTTTAGATAAATTTTGAGCCATATGGCTGTCAAAGACTAGGTATGTTTTTTGGTGGTTTAAATATGCCACCGGAAGTCATCTTCTGCGGTTGGGCTCTTAAAACTTACTGCTCTACAACTTTCAGCTGCAAATTTACACAGGATGCGGCACCTCAACAGTAATTTTTCTTGTCCTACTTAGGTTTCCGAGTTTTCTAAGATACAAGAAGTGGTAAGAAAACGTATATATGTTTCCAAATAGGTCTGATCCACTCACTCGACGAGATCTAGTGGCATAAATATCAATTATTAGGATGATTCCTCATAATAATTGATACTTATGGTTTATGTTAACTAGTTTCTTTCGTTTCTCAAACACCTAAAAAATTGTTCCTAATTTCGAAATAAATCACGTTAAAGTTCAGTTTAAATTCCGTCTTTTCTTTACCTTAAAATTACAGTCCACTAACCCAAACCAAAACGCAAAGCGTGAAATTCAGAAAATAATTTTGAAGAAACGGGAAAGCGGTCTGGTTGGTCAAGTGCAACATAAACAGGTTTCAATCAATATTGAATATTGCGATCGTTTTCAAAATGGTTATTTCGAAACTGACAGCAGTACCCCGCGAAAGCCACAAAACCAATCTTCATCCCAGGAGGTCTCGGCATAAAGGTAGGGACAATATACTATTCTTTCATATTCATATTTTCCTATAGAATTCTCATTTCAGGGGAGCAAATTGAAGCCGCAAAGGAGGCTATCATAGCAAAATTATTTTGAAAAATAGACAAATCTCACTGCCTGAAATTTGAATTTTTTACTCGAACGTAATATGTGAATACAACTAAAAAACCCTTTAGGATTTTTTGTGAAGGAATAGATTAAGGTAAGCTAATACAGTACCAAAGCATTATACTTAATTTTAGAGACCAAACTTTAAAAATAAATAAACACATAATTTTAAACTCCAATGTATTAAATTTTTTTAGTTCAATATTCCTGAACGTTGAATCAGTAAGTACGCTAAAATACGCATAGGAGCAAGTCCACACCAATTTGGGGCTTTATTATCATTATTTATTATACATTAACTTCGAATTTCACCTTCTGGGGCACTTGAATAATGGAAATGACAAATTGCTGATCCAATTTCACGATTTTCCGTAAAATTAGGTTATTAAAATTTTACTGCATAATTACGTGCGTGTGATTTAACCAATAATTTATTTTATATTAATCTAAATGATAAACGTTCAATTAACTTTACCTGAGTTTGAAATGTGCACAGTAAATGACACAAGTATGGATGTTTTGTACCCAGTGCCAACACTTTTCTTTCAATGAGAGTGCACTCGACATCGTCATCTTCAAGCACCACGTCTTTTTTGAGACACTTGATGGCGTAGTAGTACTCGGTTTCTTTAAGTTCAGCCAAAAGAACCTGCAATAAAATTCCAGGTGGACACAAATCTATTTTTAATATTAACGAGTTGAGGATTTTGCAATTAGATTTAGGTTAATGGCTTTCCACAAAAATTGTATTTTTATACGTCCTAGTTTTAAAATCGGTTCTTACCTTTCCGAAGCTGCCTTTACCTAGCACTTTCAAAAAATTGAAATCGTCCACGCAGTATTTCCGGAATCTAGGTATCGTGGTAGCTGGCGGAGTAATCCTACCACTTCTCTGGAAATTTTGGTAGGTACTGCTTCGTGACACTTCTTCTGGCAGGTCGTTGAAGTCTAATGCAAAAGCCGGATTCGATGCTGGATTTATTGTGTTCAATGGCGAGTCACGACTATCAATTGAGCCTAAAAATAAAAAAATATTTTTCTCTCAAATATCAGTCAGCAAAATGGGGGACAAAAAAAATTACAAAAGCGTGGGTAAAATAATTATTGCTTTGATAGCATAAATCATTATGGTTTCTCCTCTACTAAAAGCGAGGAATCGTAAAATTTCATCAGGCCATAACTCTTTTGGCGTACGTAAATTTAGATTTCGAAACGTGGATGACGATAATATTTATGGGACACTTTTCGGTAAAAATACCTGGAACGGATCAACAATTTTTACTGGAGTGGACTGGAGGAAGTCACAAATTTGCCGAACTATATGCCACACATTTTCCGAAGCATTAATTACCTATTGTTGTTTTTGTTATAATTTAATGTGATAAGTAAAAAGTTTAATTTTTGGCTCAAAAAATGTATTAAAGCATCAAGCTGGATTTAGAAATTAATGGTCATGTAGTTCAATGCGTATTACAACATATTTTGGGCAATATGTAGCATGTAACATAACAAAAAAATCATGAATATTTTAGGTCTTTTTAAGTTAGGAGATTAAAGTTTGGGTTAAACATAAAAAGATCATGGTTTGCTTAGGTACTGTAATTTGAATAATCAGTTGTTTAATTTTTGGAGGACTAGTGAGCTGTCAGTGAGCTGTGCAGAATACGAATAACGTCTATGTTATACCTATATCTCAAGAAATATCAAAACCAAAGACGAGAAGTGTGATTTTTCAAACATCAATCCAGCGAATCCACAAAGGTCAGTAAGTTTTTTTAATAATTTAAGATTTATTGTGCATCAACCGCTGGGGTTACTAGCACATTGTACAATAATTTTAAGATACAAAATATAATTTGTAGTATAAATCACAGTTTTTTTAGAAAATCTATTAATTTTAGTATATTATCTTGGTGGTTTTTGAAGATGTCTTGCATGAAATGGCCAATTTGAGACGCTTTCCTTTGCCGGGCATATTTGGGGCATGTGATTAGTAGATGTTTCACTATGATCAACAAACTGGGGGATTCATTTCTTGTAGTAAGTGTCCATGTGTGAGTCTAGTGAGTCCGATTTTCAGTCGCGTTTAGTGGTGCCGCGAGACGAGACTAGACGAGACTTAGGGTTGGTCTCGTCTCGTCTCGATATCTCGAGACGAGACCGTGACTTAGTCTCGGTCTCGAGTATCAAAGTCTCGTCTCGTCTCGAGTGGTCTCGTCTGGTCTCGAGTTATACAGGGTGTCCAAAAAATAGCGTAAGAACTGTTCTCTACGTGGTGTGGGTGGAGGTCCCTACAAGGAACCCCAGAAAAATACTTTAAAAAATCTTAAGAAAGTTATTTGCATTTTAATATTTATTAAAATTGACAATATGTCAGAGAATTAAATTAAATACCCATGTAATTACCTGAAGAATTCGAAGGTGAATTTTCACATCTACCTATTCATATTACCCAGAATAATGCTGGAGAAGGATTTTTTAAATGTAATTATTTTTCTAGGGTTTCTCAAGGGGTCCCCTACTACGTGGAGAGCTCTTACGCCATTTTTCGGACACCCTGTATTTATGGTTTTCATTTTTATATTATAACGGAAGTCAAAACTGCCACAGTGAAAAAGCAATTAGTGAAATATCACAGTAAAGAGTAACCGTGATATTTAATTTACTGATTTCATATTCAAACAGCCCAAAATAGTCCAATAATAAAGCTATGAAAGAAACATTTTAAGTGTAATCTCGAGACTCGAGACTACACGAGACTCTCGCCGAGTCTGGTCTCGTCTCGTCGAGACTTCACGAGACGAGACCAAAAGCCAGTCTCGTCTCGAAAAGACGAGACGAGACGAGACGAGACGAGACGAGACGAGACGAGACCAGTCTCGCGGCATCACTAGTCGCGTTATTATTGTTTAGGACGACCGGCATCAAGTTAATGGCTTGTCAAGTTTTATAAGAGGTTTCACTTCGTATAGTTTTGAGTTTGAGCTGTTCCATTCTAGTTGCTTCGAGTCGCGCACAAAGATTTTAGTGTAACATTTAAAGTTATCCATTGTGTTTCTAGTACAATAAATTTGTGCGCCTCTCGCGGAAAAGTTTTGGATTAGTTTTGATTTTCTCCATTCTTTATGTTTTTTGGGGTGCTGAATGCGAATCTGAGGTTTACTAACAAAATTTCGTGACGCAACATTGAAAAAAATGCAAAAAAGTGAAAAAAATTGTAGTTTTGGCAGCTTTTTACGTATAACTCGAAAACTATTAATTTTTTGGAGAAAACACCTCCATTCAAAATGAAAGTAAATGAAATTTTCTATAAATTACATAAGCTGATTTTTTTGTAGGACAAACCGTTTGGGCTCGAGCGCTAGTTGAAAACAAGGGCGTCGCCAGAGAGGGGCAGGGGGGGGCAGTTGCCCCCCCCTAGAGATTCGAATTTAACTAATTAAAAACAATAAAAAAAAAACAAAATAAAAAAATAGAAACAAAATCGTTTGATATTGTCGGCTAAAAACTTCCGGAAGCAACGGCAACGTCGGCAACCGGCAACACTGTTCCGCTGCCTGCTGCACTGGCATACGCGCACGCCGACTGCCGTTGGTGACAAGTGACGACTGGTTCCGGTTCGACGTACTCTTATTCTATGGACGTACTCTTAACAATTAAAATATAATTTTGGAACCAGTGTTTTAGTGAAAGTTTTTCCTACGATCTTTTTTGGTTTAGTGACTTGAGTAGAGAAATATTCGTTTATATTTTCTTTTGCCGAGAGTTTAACCTACAGACATGGATATCAGAAAATTTTTGGGTAAGTAGTTGTATTTAATTTAAATAATTTTGTGAATATGAATTTTATTATTTTATACGTTCTACAAAAGTGCATGTGAAAGGAAAGGTTTATTTTTATAGCAATCTGGTAATATGGGAAATTAGAATAATTTTGATGCCTTGGTATAAAATTATTGTTTGTTTTTGCAGTGAATTTAAAAAGAAAAAAACCTGAAGAAAGAAGTGACACTAGCGATAGTGATGAACAGGGTGAGAAATTGGAAAACGGACAGAAAAGGGAGACGACAACAGGAGAAGGTTCTCTTCAGGAACTAGATCAGGTCCCCGATGCACGTTCTGCGGCTCTGTCGAGACCAAGCTCCTCCAAAGGTATATTTTTTATTTTTATTTAAGTATTACGTTCCTTCTTCCTTCTATTAAAAAATGAGTAATCGGAATACGTATTTTTTTCAGATTTAGATTTAGAGGGTTCAGATTCAATCAGCAATAAAAATGACATCGGTCGATTTGTTGGTCGAGCGTCGAATTTATCAACCCAACAGAAAAAGGAATTACTTGAGAACTGTTGGATGCCTTCTAAGACGTATAACTTTGCCAAAGACGCCCAGCATTTGAAAAGAAAGTTTAATTATTCATGGTTGGAAATATATTCTCCATGGTTAACCTACTCCGGACACCAAAAAGGAGCCTTTTGTAAATATTGTACGTTGTTTCCGCCCAATCTGAGCTCTGTTAGAGGCGTATTGGGTTCATTTATTACAAGGCCATTTTGTAAATTCAAAAATGTTCATGAACATTGCAAAAAGCACATGGATACCCAGTTTCACAAGACGGCATTGGAAGCGGCTAGATCGTTTCTTGTAAGTGTGCCAGTGGATGTGCAAATTAACAAATACTTCCAAGGGAGTCTTGAAGAAAACAGAAAAATTATAACATCGATAATTTCCTGTATTACATTTTGTGGATCCCACGACTTAGCTCTGAGGGGTAAACATTATGGTGACGGAATTCTGGAGGGGTTATACAAGCTACGAATTGACGCGGGAGATTTGGTTTTGAAGAAACACTTTGAGCATGGAAAAAAGAATGTAAGCTATCGATCAGTTGATATTCAAAATGAAATTATCAGTATTTGTGGGGATGTGCTTAAGGCGGATATGATCATGAAAGTGAAAAAAGCAGAAGCATATAGTGTTTTGGCAGACGAGACAGCTGATGTCTCTGGTACTGAACAACTATCAATTGGGGTGCGATATTTTGATGAGGAAACCAGAGAGGTCAATGAAGTATTCCTCGGCTTTGTCGAGCTTAAAGCATTGGATGCGAAATCTATTGCAAAAGCAATAGATGAGTTTTTGGTAGAAGAAGATCTTGATACGGAAAAATGCGTTGGTTTAGGATTTGACGGTTGTTCGACGATGGCCGGAAAAGAAGGTGGTGTGCAAGCAATCCTGCGCAAAAAATATAAAAAAGCTTTGTTCTTTCATTGCTCGTCGCACAAACTAAATCTAGTCATCAATGATCTGAATATTCTGTCTGAAATCCGGAACACCGTAGGGACCATCAAAGATATTATCACATTTTTTCGAGAATCAGTTTTGAGAAGGAAGTTGATACCTAATATTTCCAGGCTTTGCGAAACAAGGTGGAGCGAGAAACACAAAAGCATCAGAGTTTTTAAAGATAATTTTCCTGTTATAATGGAGGCCTTAGAAACCTTGTCGCGGGAAGGAAATAGTGCTACTAGAAAAAATGCTTATCAGCTCCATGCGGCAGCTTCTAGAGTCTCGTTCATTTTCAGCCTTATTCTGATAGCCAAATACTCAGCTATGATGGAACCAGTAGTAAACGTGCTTCAATCCGTAGCTTTGGATGCGGTTAAGGCATCCCAGCACATTAATCGCATTTTGCAACTAATAAAAAACCACCGTGACAATCCCGAAAAAGTCACAGATGAAGTTATAAGGGATGCTACTGTCGTTGCAGAAAAAATTGGACTGGGAGAGGAGATGCAGTCAGTGCCCCGTATTGTTGAGAGACAACAACATCGAAGCAACCACCCTGCAACAAGTCCTTCAGAATTCTGGCGGAGGTCTTTAATAATACCGTATTTGGACTCTATAATTAATTCTCTTGAAGTACGCTTTTCTGAAGAAAACACCCCGTCGTTTGCATTATCGAAATTACATCCGGCTCAAATGTTAACTATGTCACTAGAAGACGTCGTAGAAGCT